GTTCCGGCCTCTTTTTGACTTCCCCTTTCTCCCCCATAGTTGCTGACCTGTCTTCACAATTTCCTGAGTCACAGCTATGTAACATGATCATTTTGGCCGCGCGCTAAATGTGAACACTTTTTGGTCGCCAAGTCGTACTTTCAATACGCAAAAAATCGTCAAGGAGAACTCTTCCCGGTCTGTATTTAAGGCGGCAAAATACGAGATGCAAAGACCTCAACTGATAGCACAACGTTGTTGTGTTGCAAATTTTAGGTTGAGGTTTTACGCTTTTCACCTAGGATAAACAACGTGCGCAAAAAAAACGTTAATTGCGGGTCGAAAAATATTGTTGCGAAAAATAGATCGCGGGTGCAACAAATGTTGGGTTTGTTGCTTGTTTTTTACTAAATTTACAACTTGTCATGCGATAAATTAGCTCACGTCGCGCGACAAGTTGAGGATTTTTGTAACCTTTCTATTAATTCCCACGTGAAAACCACCAGTATGTTTGGCTACTAAACTGAGCCTGATTTCTAAGCTCCTCAAGGTGATCCCAAAAATAAACTGCTAGCGGACAACGAAGAATTATAGTTTAATATTTTTTTACACGGATGTTGTTGAAATACCAGAATTTATCTTTCTCCTAGAACATATCTTCATGAATATACTCTATTCTTTAACAAGCAATGACAACAATGTTGCTAAGTTAACCGAGTGTGACAAAATTGCGTTCGTATTCATATGCACAGCCACATAATGTCCTTCCTATCACTTAAGAGAAAATAGCTAAATATCGTTTTAATGGGAACAGTTCTTAAGTATCGGTACTGAACTTGAATTAAACGTTTGGTATTATTAAAACTCAATCAATCCTCAAAAATTCCATATTGTTCTCCAGCAACCGGTTTCCTAGGACTGGTACAAGTTCTTCATGCCCTTCGTCTGCATTTTCCACCTTTTTCAACAAAAAAATTATCGAGACAACTATTCCGCAAAATAGAACCACATTGACCACCACAATCATCCAAACAATGGGTGTAGACGAGTCGGGGTTCAGAGCTGCGTACCTTACATTCGTGAAAGAAAAATGAAGAATCAAAAGAACCAGGGCCTCCACTGTGTTTTCCAGTGGGAAATTTTGGTAAGAATCGTTGAACGGCCTCAAGGACAACTGCAAGCACAGGGCGCTTAGCAAAACGAAGCAAACAGCTATCGTCTGAAAGGACGATGCACGAGGGATGAGGGACAACGCGAAAGCGATCAGCATCCGCCTGAGAAGAAAGATGATCTCGAAATAGGAACGGAATTCTTTCCTGTATGGCAAATAGATAGAACCGAGCCAACTGTCCAAACTTTCTTGGTCCTGCTGGGGCAGCCCATGTCTTCTGGCTACGTTATTGAAGCGCAGGAGAGGAAGGAACACTCCAAAAGGCACACCGATCACATACAGCGGCATAGCAAGCCAGCCTAACACCTGTAGGATGGTGTAGTCACTGCCTTCACACTCCATCCACGGTGCCTCTCTCAAATAACGCTGGCCATTGTCCTCACCACAATGCGCTAGGATAGACGCTGTTTTCTTCACAATGGGAAAGTAAGTAAAGTTAAGAGTCATGATCGAGAGTTGTAAACAGGTATTCCGAAGTCGAAATCGTCTTTCTTCTGAATTGTGAGGTTCAAAAATTTTCAAGACTAGGCAACCAAGGCTAAAATACAACCAAACAAGCAAGATGCAAATGAGAGGAAGAATCAAAAGAGATGCAAGCTCGCCGAGAGGCGTAAACAAGCTCGGAAACTCACAAGCCAGGCCAGAGAAACGAAAGTTGAAAACATTTCCAATGTATCCCTGCATCTCCAAAACCTCAACTGGCCAAACGTCATTGTTGGACAATAAGGCATCAAAGGTTTGGAAATAAAACACGCTTGTCTTCATAATTCCTCTTGCAGTCTTTCCTCTTCCGGCTAAACCAATAAAAAGAGCTATTATGTTGAGTTCAAGGAGCCAGGGTGGAATGATTTGAAGCATCGCTAAAATGGTCAAAATGATGATTTGAGATAAGACAAAAGTAACAGAAAGAAACCGTTTCTTCTCGTAAAATAAAAACCCAAAGATCATAAACAGGATGGTAAGAATTAAAAGCACCACTAGGATGAAAACACTGGATTCACTGTTTCGACAGTCGTACCAAAGTATTCCCTGTTTGTAATAAGCATGTTCACAAAGGGAGCAAAACCTATCTCGACTACCTTTCTGACAAAGGCACGACTTGTAACAATTCATGGATGGTCTGTCAATTTCCCCTTTTGTCTCCTTAAGCGAATCAGGATCAACCTCACAGTCACAAGAGCCTGTCGGATTACATGGTGTAGTCACGTGGGGACTGGTGCCCAAAGCTTGCGAACATCTTACAAGATGAGTCACATTTTCATCAAGAGATGAAGGCCAATATCCCTCTTTAATGATCATTGACTGCGTAGGAAACATTTGATCGTGACACACTCCTCCTTCCATACAAGGTAAACAAGTTCTTCCTGAGCCAAAGTATCCAATGTCGCAAAGGCACAGGCGGTAGAAATAGTAATTTGGGTCTAACACGACAAGTCCTTTGTTGTAACTGAGCCGAGCATTGGGACACCTGAATTTATCATCTGAATTTCGTTTCGTCAAAGTTTTAAAATCAACCGTCACGAAGTTGGGTACAGTTCCACTTTCCTCGTTGGATTCATGCATGTTGGGATTCAGTGATATGTCGAACACTTCCAGCGCTAAGAGTTTTGCAAATTCTTGCGGAATTTGTCCTGAAAGGTTGTTCGCTGAGACGTCAAGATTAAGTAGAAATAACATATTATCTGGGGGAGATGGAAGCTGTCCAAACAAGCTATTACCACTTAAATCTACAGAAATTAAATTTTGAAAGTCCCACAGTTTTGGGGAGATTTTTCCGAGAAAATTGCACTCGCTTATGTTAAGAATACGCAACGATTGATTTACGGGTTCCATTGCTTCTAACAGGCTGTTAAACGTCATGGTAAGGTGTTTATTACCAGCCAAATTCAGTACTTCTAGGGATTTTGACTTGAAAACAATTCCTTCTTGTAACCCCGATAACTGATTCCTGCTGAAATCAGCAACTTGAAGCATGGGTATTGAGCCTATGTCTTTTGGTATTTTTCCAGAAAAATCGTTGTTCGCCAAGTTCAAATGCCACAAGTTTGTCATGTTGCCCATTGTTGAGGGAATGCCTCCGGTGAAACGATTTCCTGGCAAGAGACACTCAATCATAGCAGGAAAGTAAAGTCCAAATTCGTCTGGCAAAGTTCCCTTTAGCCCAGCAAGAGATAGATGCATATAACGTAGAGATGACAGATTGTAAATGTTTTCAAATCCTCCATTTAGAAATGTTACACTTTCAAGATCCAAAAACCAAAGCTTTTTCAATTTGGCAATGCTCTTCGGAATCATGCCATTCAATCTGTTTTCTCCAAGACTGAGAACTTGCAGTTCAGTCAAGTTCCCAATGTCTCTTGGAATTTCACCAGACAGACCCTTTCCCAATTGGCAGCAAAGTTGGACCTTTACCAAAGACTCCATCTTTGGTAAGATCTCGCCAGGAATCTCACCAGACAACTTATTAAAAGCAAGATCAAGACGAAGCAAGGTTGTCATATTGGGAGACAAAATTTCAATAAGATTACCCGAAAGCCTGTCATTGCTACGTACACACAATCCCTGCAAATTACGAAGCTTCCACAAGCTTCTTGGAAGAGTTCCATCTAACTTATTTTCTATCAGAGCGATACTAATAATGTAGCTATTGGTTTGATCGCATGTAATTCCATACCAAAGGCAGTGTGGTACCGAGTGGTTTGCCCAGTAGGTACTTTTTTTCCAATTGTTACCAGCTGTTTGGTTGAATATTTCCATAAGTACAGCTCTCTCTTGTTGGGGCGTGAATGTTGTTTCCAAAGTACTATTTGGTATCGGGATATCATGCAAACATCCGTAGGCAAAAGTTTCATCGTAGTTCAGAGGTATCAGTTTTTCTGTTTTCAAAGCTAGTAAAACAGTAGAACAATCAAGGAAAGAAGACAACAATAAGTGATTACAGGTGAAATTCAGCAAGGATTCTGCTTCTCTACACCCTCAGGGATTTTTCCTGACGTCTTTCATTGAGTCACGTCACCATGATCGAGGGTCAGGCCAAGAGCGGAGTCATCGGAATTTTTTATGGTCCAGTTTTTGATATTCACAACTGACGTTACAAAACTATAACTCGCAAATCAAGGTTCTAGGGTTTAAACATCATTTCATGATCCATGACTATGCTCCAACTCCCGATCATAATCAAAGAGTAAAAAGGTTAGGAACATTCGAAAGGGAAATAAGATTTGAAAGTGCAACGTATATCGGTTGTATATATGTTCTGTTTCAGAAGTGACCTGATCTATATGTTTCAAGTAATCAAATTCTGTCCATCTTCATCAAGATCGTGGAAATCGAATGACTCGGACGGGTGTGACGTCCCCCTAAAGAAAACGCCTCGGTAGCGGGCTGAAAGTATTGAGCGCCCGACAAACCCCCAGCAGCACAGCCCCACTATTCCAGTCTCAAAAGATAATTGGAAAAAAATACACTGTTCGTTGTTTTATCAGTAGTAGTAAACGAAAAAGTGTGTATTAAGTGTGGTAGAACACTGTCTGTTATGCGTCGTAGAACACTGTCTGTTATGCGTCGAGTATGCCCTTTTAGGCTCGCACTTACCTCCGATCTCTGGTTTGTTCCGTCTTGTTCTGTGGTAGGGTGACCTTGATCCATAGTTTGACAAGTTTCGTCCGAAGGTAAGAGATCGGTGATGTTCCAAGCAAACAAGGAGCACCACAATCCTAAACAATACTGCTTGAAGGGAAGATTTTGATGAAAGAGTTAGAGCCATAATTCTCTTCCTCGAGAAAGAAACCGGAAGAGGCTTGATTTTACGCGACCGAAAGACAATGCGATCAGCGGTTAATTTGAAAACAAGCAAAATGGCGGAAGGATTTCTTGGTGTAGATAGAAGTGAAAACGAAAGTACGGAGAACAGGAAAGCTCCCCTCTATGATCGTCCAGTGTTTAGGGAAATAACCCTATCAGATGGATAAATCTCTAAGATGAAGAAGGATGAACTCACGAAAACACTGGAAAAGCTTGGGCTGGATTCGCGAAGAGTGCAATAAAGTATATATGTGACCTGAAATTAACTCAAATCAACAAACTCGGTCCAACGGTGCTGTTCTAAGCCTGACCTTGGGATAAGGGAACGGGGATAAGGAAATTTTGGAAGGATTAGGAAGGCATTAAAATGTCGTTAAAGTTCTCCCTTGACAAATTACGCAAAATTGAGAGACCATCAATATCTCTTAGAAAGAGATGATGTACTTTTCCACACACTGTAATAAAATTCTTGATCGAAGATAAGACAAGTAACCTTCCTGCAACTATATATTTTGATCTACCACATGTAGATGCCCCAAGCTAATTCTTTCATAGCGAAGAAGAAAGTTAAGTTTGGTAATCTAACAATTCTGATTTATTTTGTAGAGGAAGAAAGGAAGTTCTCCAAAAGCGTCCAGAAGATCAAATGCAAGAAAAGAGAATAAACAAGGTTCATTTCGACTGTGTCATAGATTTTGAAGCAACTTGTGTAGAGAATGACCCAAAAGACTACATCCATGAGATAATTGAGTTTCCTGCAGTACTTCTGGATGCAGTTACACTGGAAAAGGTTTGTGAACTTTGCAAGAACATCTATTTGCTAACTCTCTTTAATTTTCAGGAGGTATTAAAACCACATGTGTATTATTCACTATTTTATAGTAACATATCCATAGTAATTGAAACATAATGCCTGCAATTTCAGTTCAAAATGATTTTAAACTACTGTAGTTTGAGTTATTTTTTTCCCTTTATTTCTGGCTTCCTTGAACTTAGAAATACAAATCCAACAAATTTGAATGTTAATTTATTTTAAAATGGAACATATATTATAAAGCATTCCACAACTGGCAGTTTCTCACAGGCAAACTAGATCCAGGAACGTCTGCCTAATCCTGGAGTTTTTCTCTTTATGGCCTCCTGGTAACATAACATTTAGGATGAAAACTCTGTAGCTGTCTCAATGTTGATAATGCTGCAGATTCTCTTGGTTTTGCTGAAAATAATTTACAGGCCTGAGAAAAAGCATGTAAAAAAAGATTCTCTTGGTATTGTTGAAAATAATTTACAGGCCTGAGAAAAAGCATGTAAAAAAACAATGCTGCAAAAAATCTACTGCAGTGACTTTTGTTCAAACAAACAGTCTCCAAGGGAATAGGATAGGGTTGATGGGTATTAGTATTGGTTTGGAATTTGTTGTTGTGGCACTCCTTTTGGTTAGAGAGGTATTACCTTCCAAGATCAAATATATTTCATTGATTTTACTACAAGAAGAGGGTACTATTAAAACTGTTGTTGAAAGTTTAAGTTATTGCATTTTCCTTCCTTGCCATTGTAATCTGCCACTTGGGTGAAAAAAGTGACAGGGATACACTGTATTTTACTATGGTGAACCAGATTTACACAAGGTAGTTTTCATATACATGTAGGCCCTAATTCTCTAACCCTCCAAAGGGCTAATTAGGAGTATAAAATGAGCCTTAGCATTTGGTTATATTGGTATTTCAGAATTAAAGAAAATGTGTGCCACCATCAGTTTTTTTTTTTAAACATTCAAGTCATGTGAACACTCCTAATGGTAACTCAACCAAATTTGACTTTTGGGGCTAATGATTGATACTGCATGTAGCACTTTAACATGCTATGTAGCTACTGTTCGTATTCGGGACTGAGCTAACACCAATTTCACATATCTCTTCAGGTGTCGGAATTTCACGAGTACTGGAAACCACAAGATAAGCCACAATTATCAAAGTTCTGTTTATTTTAAGGGCCTAACTGGAATTACTCAGGTAATAAAAGTCAACCCATTAAAAAACTTAATATTCATTAATTATGCCTACAAGTAATTTCTTGAATCTCTGTCACTGGAGTCCTTGTAAACAGTCTTGTGCTCTGATTTTTGTTTATATAATTAGCTGAATTCTTCATTATTGGTTCTTACTTATGATCTATTGGAGAACAAACCTATGATGTCACTATTACCAACTTTTTGCATCATGGTGTTTATTACATAAAACAAACAGATTCAATGTTGCCATGGTTCTGTTCAGAAATAAATCACAGGAGACTCGGTGGTAAGAAGATCAATGACACACTCAGCTGCACCTCATCTGCCATGTTCATACCATCCTTTCAGGTCATCTGTGATCTACTGTACATGTACAGTGGAACCTCAGTTTAATGAACCTCTTTATAACAAAGTCCTTGGTATAACAGACAATACTTCAGTTTCAGCCTGGCTAAAATTACAGTAAAATGTATGCCACAGAACCTGGATATAATGAACCCTCAATATAACAAACCAATTTACCCAGTCCCTTGGCACTTCATTAAATTGAGGTTTCACTGTACTTGTAATACTGAACAGATACACTGCAACATGGAATTTATTTTTCAAATGGTTCATTAAGCATTATGAGTCTAGTATGAGTTTATTGTTAGCAAGTTATTACCTATACTACCAAAAAATGTTTTCAAAGCATGTGATATTGGTGAGTTTGTTTTTAAATTTGAAAAGATATTAGACATTGAGAACCTTCTTCGGTAAAACAAAATTATTAATATCAATCAAAATGCTTCTGTCCTAATGTATATTAATTAGTTTCCATGGTGAATTTATAATTTTATACTAATTTTTCCATGCTGGACCATAGAAGTAACAGTATTGTAATGTTCTGTTAGATGGAATAAATAAACTATTACAGAAAAAAAAATTAGTCTGCATAGCTCACACTGCTAACTGATCCTTCATGGCAGGATGTAGGCTTTTCATAG